TGAGATGGCGGGTCGCAGGGATTCGTAGATATGCCTCACCAGATACCGTAGTAGGGTTGCCTTGGACTTGTATCTGCTGAGCTGTGCGAAGAAGACCTACCGCACCGTCTTACGACTCCGATGACTCCGTGCCGAGCTTTCGTCTGTCATGTGACGGAAATCATCAGAGCCAGAAACTATTATTCACGAAAAAGATGCTAAACCAATAAAGGCGGTCAGCTGAGATCCTACTTGGTCTTGACCTCACTTTGCGAGCTTAATGATTTGGTTGACTGACATATGCTTGTCCTACATGCATGTAAGTGGGTCAAAGTAATGCAGACAGGGGAACGGATGTGGTCACAACTTTTGTTGGGAGGACTTTCATTTCGTATGGAAGTTCATGAATAAGAGATTCGTTGGTCGATCTCACCAGATGAGGACGATGTTCAGATTGAGGCAGCCCATGAAACTTACTCCCTCGTTCCGAGTGAAAACGGACTGAGCTTTCGTCCATTATATGATGGACATCTTCAGAGCTTGAATAGCTCCTAGAACAGGAATGTTTGTGTACATAGACACAACATCAATACTTACTTGCTTATCCTCTTCTAAAAGTGTTTGTAGCAAAGGCTTGACCATGAGATTTGCTCAGAAGCTTTAACTTCTAATTAGTCACTAAGACACAGAGTGTAGGAAATAATGCCTCGAGTAGAACAGATGGGGTGGCAGAGGTAGAGTAAAATACTTGAATCAGGGCGTTAGCAGACGGATTATACGGGACAAGTGAGAGACTCTGATAAGACCTAGGGAAGGAGGAAGGAGGAAGGCCTAACAATATGACAGACTCTGTCAACATTCCCAACACAAGTCTGCAGGTGGGGTGAGAACGCCAGCGTGGAGTGTGGAGGGTTCTTATTAACGCCTCTCAAAAGGGCACACCACACTACATCTAAATAAGCACGGTAAAAATAGTGACAGTGAAGGCGTGATACGAGGATATATGGAACGTGAAAAGCCCAGGGCAGAAGAGAAGCCACAACTGTTTAGCACACGTTTGGTCAAAGGATCAGCTTCACTTGTCTCTTTGATGAGTTGTAGTGCGGTGCCAAGAATGGCAAGACTCGCTAACGATAACGACTATGATGCCGGCGAAACGTCTGGGAATGTACCACGTCCACGGTCCGACTTTGGAAATTATCATGCCTACAATGGACTCCTCTAAATATTTTTACCAATATGAATAAGTTGCGAAAACAAGGTGTAACAACTTTTAATAGAATTAGATTCTTAAAAATTTGTATTTTTCATAATGTTGTTGTTTACTAGTTAGGTAGGTTGCGAAAACAAGGTCAAACAAACTCTATACAACGAAAAGAGACTGCGACCACACAAAGGCCACACTATCTTGGTCTTCATATCTTCGATTAAACTATGGAAGTGAGATTGCCAAACAATGCACTGATTACAGCCGGACAAAGAAGATAATTGTAAGTCAATCCTGCCATTTGGCCTTTTTGAATT